CAGCTCTTCAGCTCAAGGCGAGTGCTCTACCACTTGAGCTACAGCGCCACTTCCGGTTTTCTGGTGGTTTATTGGAGATAGGAGTCTCAAGGTCTCTCCTGCCCGGGCTGGCTTTGAACCGTGATCCTCAGATCTCAGCCTCCTGAGTAGCTAGGATTACAGGCGTGAGCCACCAGTGCCCGGCAAGCCTGAATTATTTTTAACTTGAACATTTGGAAGTTAAAAAAAATTTCACTAGACTTTGCCATCAAAGAACTAGTTGAAGTCAGGTGCCAGTGGCTCATACCTATAATCACAGCTACTAAGGAGGCTCAGATCCGAGAAACACGGTTCAAAGCCTTGAGCAAAAGAACTCAAGTTTTCTGGTGATTAACTAACTGGAGCAGTCTCATGGACTTTCCTGCCCTGGCTCAGATCTCGGCCTGAGAAGCTAGGATTACAGGTGTGAGCCATCGGTGCCCATAAAGCCTCAGACATTTTCTGTTGGCTCCTTATCTAAACATCTGCCTTATCCCTCATGTCTCAACATACATGTCTACCTCTGAAGCCGCACTCAGACTTCATAATTATAAAAGCCTTGCAGCATTGTTATATGCTAAATTGTACACCTCCTATAAGGCAAAAATTGTATGTAAACTATGGTGTAGTTCTATAATCTAATCACAAAAATTGACCTATACTAGGCATTCATACCCTATATGCTTGAATGAACAGTTACAAATACACTGTTAATCAGACCAGAATTCAGCTTCTTTTTCTTTTCCCTTGGGGAGGGTGGTGGTGCTGGGTTTAAACTCAGAGCTTCTTACCTGCTAAACAGGTTCTCTACCAACTGTAGGCCACACTTCCAGCGCTTTTTCCTCTCTGCATGAGATTGTGTGTACTGGTACTGGGGCTTCTACTCAAGGCCTCTCACTTGGCTTGTTTATGGCTGGCAGTATACAGCCCAGTTCTGGCTTTCTGATGGTTAACTAGAGTTTGTTGTGGCTCTCTTTGAACCATAGTCTTCAGAGCTCATCTTCCTAAATAGCTAAGATTACAGGCATGAGACACACCAGTGCCCAGCTCTCTGGTTACTTTTAAGATACACTCTCCCTTCTGCCCAGGGCAGCCAAGATTCTCAGCATCCCAAGCTGCGAAGGCTGACAAGCATAAGCTACAGCACCCAAAGATAATAAAATCTTTTTTTCCCCTCCTTAGGAAAAAGCTGCAGGAAAAAGCTGCAACAGGAGATTCTATTCAGACTGGCAATATTCAGTATATCAAATCCTTAACTGTGAAGGATTCAAGGAAACTACAGTAACTGTGCAACAGTCTACAAGATGACAGTCGTGGCAGGTAAATTCAAGTGATTGCATGTTGGGAAACATTTACAAGTTTACCCCACACCTACAGAGGGCTCTTAATCTTGTCAAAAAAAAATCATGTTTCTCATAGTATTTCAATAATGTCAGAACAAACAGTGAGGGAACAGACAGATTGTTGAAGGGAAGAAAACTTAAGCAATGGACCTAGATTTAATAATGCTATTACAGGCAGGCACTGGTGGCTCACACCTGTAATCCTTGATATGCAGGAGGCTGAGATCTGAGGATCATAATTCAAAGCTAGCCTGAGGAGGAAAGTCCATGAGACTCAGCTCCAATTAACCTCCAGAAAACCATGAAGGTATGGCTCAAAGTGGTAGAGCACTAGCCTAGAGAAGAAAAGGCCAGGCCCTGATTTCAAGCTCCACAACCAGTAAAATAATCATAATCATAGTAATATCACAGCTAGTTAACGTATAAATAGCAAAACTTGACCTAAACAGAATCTAATCTAAAGTTGTAGTCCATACCTATCAAAAAACATTTTCACTGAGAATCAAAAGCTTACTTTTTAGAATGAAAATATTTACAATAATAATGAAAATAATGTCAAGCTCGGCAGTGTGGCTTACACTTGTAAACACAGCTACTCGGAAGGCTAAGACCTGAGGATGGAGATTAAGACCAGCCTAAGCTGACAAATCCAAGAGACCTTTATCTCTAAACAGCAAAAAGCCAAAACTGGAGGCATAACTCAAGTGGTAAGAGTACCAACTTTGAGCAAAAAAGCTAAAAGAGAACACAAGGCCCTAGCCAGTACTTGGTTAAAAAAAAAAAAAAGAAAAGAAAGAGCACTGGCAAGTTGGCTCAGTGGTAGAGTACATGCCTTGCATGCATGAGGCCCTGGGTTTGATTCCTCAGCACTACATAAGCAGAAAAAAGCCAGAAGTGGTAGAGCGCTAGCCTTGAGCTGAGGGACAGCGACCAGGCCCAGAGTTCAGCCCCCAGGACCAAAAAAAAAACCAAACCAAAAAACAAAAAAAGAAAGAAAATGTCATCTCCTAAACTTATATAAAACGGAAGAAAAAAATTCACAGTCTAAGTTACTACCAAAATATTTTCAATAAAATTTACCCAAAAATTAGGTCACTTCAAGATGCCAGAAATTTAATTATCAACTATTGTCTTGATGATTAAAAATTAAAATGGAAGGTAATCGTAGTAATAAGGGAAGAAAAGTTTGAAAACTATATTTTTTCTTTGAAGAAAGTTGATCTGTATTCAAAAATGAAAACTAGAAAACCACAGTAAGAGCATACTATTTAGAAAATAAAGAAGTTAATACCAAAACAAATGGTTAAGAGATGAAAGTAATTACTTTTAAAGAGCAGCATCTGGAGGAGGGAGTGTGAGGGCAGGGATCTTCTGTGTGAAATGTAAGTAGTGGTTTTACTTTTAATCAACATGAATTAAAATATAAGACGTTAAAGAAAAATAATCCTACTGGGTACAGCAGTGCAATACCCAGAAAACTCAGGCAGCAGGATACAAGTTGAAGGTCAGAGTGACTACATAGCAAGATCCTGTCTCTAAAGAAAAGCAGAAAAAAAGAGAAAAACAAGAATATTATCGCCTCAGGATTTGCTGGTTACCATAATTTCCCAAGAAGATGTACAACAAAAGATAGATAGATAAAAACAAGCCTAGAGTCAGGCACGGGTGGCTCATGTCTTTCATCTTAGCTCCTACACAGGATACTAAGATTTGAGGATTGTGGTTTGAAGCTAGCCTGAACAGGAAAGTCGGTCACTCATCTCTAATTAACCAGCAAAATGCCAGAAGTGAAGCTGTGGCTCAAGTGGTAGAGCACTAGCCTTAAGTGAAAAATCTCAGTGACAACTCCCAGGCCCTGAGTTCAAGCCCCAAAATTGACACTAAAAGAAAAAGAGAAAGAAATCTGATGGAGTCAGGAGCCAGTGGCTCATGTCTATAATCCTAGCTGAGATCTGAGGATTGAGGTTTGAAGCCAGTCCAGGCAGAAAAATCCCCATGAGACTCTTATCTCCAAGAAACCACTCAAAAACTGGAAGTGGAGCTGTGGCTCAAAGTTGGTAGGGCGCTAGTCTTGAACAAGAGCTTATAGACAGCACCCAGGCTCTGAGTTCAAGCCCCACCACAACCAACACACACACACAAATCTGTTTTGAAAAGTTTAAGCTGCATACCCATGGCTCACACCTATAATCCTAGCTAATAGAAGGCTGAGATGTGACCATTGTAGTTGGAAGCCAGCCAGGGTAGGAAAGTCCATGAGACTCTGGAAGTGGCACTGTGGTTCAAAATTCTACAGTAGTAGGCTGGGAAAGTGGCTCAGTGGTAGAGTACTTGCCTTGCATGCATGAGGCCCTGGGTTCAATTCCTCAGCACCACCTAAGCAGAAAAAGATGGAAGTGGCACTGTGGCTCAAGTGGTAGCTCGCTTTGAGCTTAAGAGTTGAGGAACATCGCCCAGAGTTCAGGCCCCACAACCAACCAAAAAAAAAGTTCTAGAACATTAGCCTTGAGTAAAAGAGCTCAAAGACAGTACCCAGGCCCTGACTGACCCCCCCCCAAAAAAAGAGGAAAGAAAGGCAAGAAGCGTTTCCAGTGATTTCTTTCAAATGGTCAAGAAACAATTCCTTGTACCAGAACACAAATATAGAAAGTTTACAGATATTAAAAATAATATTACACGATTCCAAAGTATGAAGTGTATGGTGGTGAGCACAAGTAACCTTCCAAAACCTAGCACACTATAACCTAACAAAACCTAACAATACAACACACTGAAAATAGACAAAAAAAAAAAAGAAAAAAGGATACTACAGCCAGGTACCAATGGATCACACCTGTAATCCTACCTACTCAGGATGAGATCTGAAGATTGTGGCTTGAAGCCAACCAAGAAAGTAAATCTAAGAGATTCTTACTGCTAATTAACCAGTTAGAACAAAAAACAAAACAAAAAACAACAACAAAAGCCAGAAATGGAGGTTTGGTTCAAGAGGTAGAGCACTAGTCAGGAGCAGAAAGGCCATGAGAGGAGGTCTGGAGCTCAAGCACCAGTATCCGCACAAAAGTTAATTAATTAATAAGGTACTAAGGGAAAACCTTAAAAGAACAGTGTTCTACCAGAAGTCCAATCCAGGTGAACATTAAAAATACAGTACCAGCCAGGTGCTGGTGGCTCATACCTATAAACCTAACTCAGGAGGCTGAGGTCTGTCAAAGCCAGCCTGTGACTCATCTCCAAGTAATCACCCAAAAACTGGAAATGGAGCTGTGGCTCAAAGTGATAGAACACAAGCCTTGAGCAGAAAAGTGTAGGAACAGCACCCAGGCCCTGAGTTCAAGTCCAACAACCAACAACAACAAGAAAAAAGAATACTGTACCATAACAATGCTGAGGATACAGTTCAGGGTAGAGTAAGTGTTTAAGCATGATGACAAACAAAACTAAACTATTCCACAGCTAAGTACGGTTCTTCCTAGAGCAGTTAATTCAGTAACAACAAAAAGTTCATATAGCTGGGCGCTGGTGGCTCACGCCTGTAATCCTAGCTACTCAGGAGGCTGAAATCTGAGGATCACGGTTCAAAGCCAGCCTGGGCAGGAAAGTTCGTGAAACTCATCACCAATAAACCGCTAGAAAACCAGAAGTGGTGCTGTGGCTCAAGCGGTAGATCGCTCACCTTGAGCTAAAGAGCACAAGGACAGCGCCCAAGTCCAGAGTTCAAGCACCACAACCGACAAAAAAAAAAAAGTTCATGGGGCTGGGAAGGTGGCTCAGTGGTAGAGCGCTTGCCTTGCATGCCCGAGGCCCTAGGTTCGATTCCTCAGCACCACATAAAGCAAAATGAAAAAAGCCGAAAGTGGCGCTGTGGCTCAAGTGGTAGAGCGCTAGCCTTAAGCTGAAGAGCTGAGGGACAGCGCCCAGGCCCAGAGTTCAGGCCCCACGACAGGACCCAAAAAAAAAAAAGTTCATATATAATTTGCTCAATTAGGTCAATAGTGGAAAAAAAGGAACATGAGCCTAAATGAACAAATTTCTTGTGTTTTAAGCACTAAAACCAAACATTTTTGAATTTCCAAACTTTTTTATGAAGTCTTCCAACAAGGGCAAACAAGCATCCCTACTGTCTAACCAAGTAGGTAAGAGATGTTATAGGTGACAGAGAACTAATAAGCAATGCCAAAACTCCCACTACCCATTCTCCATTAGTTCTGATACACTCTTTACCTTTCCTCTCTAAATATGGCTATAAAACATCCATTACACTTTATAATGTCTAAAAATTTGTATTTATACCATGTTTTTTATTTAGATGGCTAGTCACAGGACTTCCAGTGAGTCAGCTATAAACCAGGGAAAACTCAAATGGTGCCACCACCCAGAGTAGAGCTCACCTGTTTGTGGACCAAACTGGTTTTAAAAAAACAACTATGTTTACAATTCAGGACTTAAGAAAGGGGGCTGGGAAGGTGGCTCAGTGGTAGAGTGCTTGCCAACCACGCATGAAGCCCTGGGTTCGTTTCTCAGTACCACATAAACAGAAAAAAGCCAGAAGTGTTCAAGCCCTGGGACTGGCAAAAAAGACAAGAAATGCTACAAACTGTGCTATCTACATACATGCAAAACTTTCAAAATTATCTTTGTCATGATGTATATATTTTAAAGAATAAGTTCTAAGCTAGAAGGTAGCTCAGTGGTAGACTGCTTGCCTTGCATGCATGAGGACCTGGGTTCGATTCCTCAGCACCACATAAGCAGAAAAAGGCAGAAGTGGTGCTGTGACTCAAGTGGTAGAGAACAACAACAACAAGTTCTATGGTTAGATCTTTCTCTTTATTCCTCAGTAGTTTTTACTTTGATATTTTCCCCAAAACTAAAAGGGGAACTAAGAATATAATTTAACCAAGAACATATTAAACTAAGATTTTACTGCTTTTATACTTTTCACAGTAGGCCACATTCAATAACATACTTACGGAAAGACAACGCCAACACTCTCATTACTGAAAATCAAAATTTCATCTTGCCAGACAAGTTAAACTATGGTATCTTACTTAGCTCATTAAAAAGAAATACAGACCAAGCCTTAAATGGACAGTGAAAAAGAATCCAAGTTGTAGAGCTATGCGTATACATGTACTGGAGTGTACACTATAAAATCTCAGGAAGGTTCTGTTGGAGTGACTGCCTTCGGGTAGTGTTGATTTTTTCCGCACAGGCTCCTTCCACACGGTAGTTATGACTTTATGCACTGACAGCATACACCCTTTTCCAAGAGATTTTTAAACCTTGCATTGTAAATCTACTGAAATCTGACTTCCTATCTGCTCCCTATCCCAGATCTTACCTTTTTTTGTCGATTTCCTGGTTTGGATACTGAATATCCTTTATCTCCAGCTTTTCCTGATTCTTTTATTCTTTTCCTGAAATTAAAATATTTTTCTTTAATGCTCCAGCCTGACTTTCCAAAAACAAAAACAACTTCTTTAAAACCATGTTATAAAAGTAACATTAACGACCCTGTCCCGGGACGGCTGGCTATTCGCGCGTCCCTGTCTTAAGGAAAATGACCGGTTGGCGACACCGTTCCCGAAGAGGGTTCTCCGGCTACCTTCAAATCCCGACCCCTGGCCCTTTACACACCCGGGCGACGGGTGCCCCGCGACGGGGCCAGGGCCGGGGCACAGGCCGGGCGTTAAGCACAACTAGGCGAGACCGCGGGAACCTGGCGAGGCAGGCGGCCCCGCGGGCAGGGCCGGCTCGGGCTCGGACCCAGACCCGGAACAGGCCCCGGAGG